TTACATCAAAAACGTTTTTTGGGGGCCTATTTCTCAATGCGTGATTATGAGATTCCCGGTACATCTTTAGGTCGTCAAATGGCGACTTCCGCGGCTGATTTCTTAAGTCTCACCTGACATAACAGAATGGAAAGGAATATACGAAAAAAAAAACCTGAACAATGTAGCTATCGTGGTCAATATCGGGCAAGGTTCACAAGAACTTCCTCTAGCTATAGACGTTTGCAAGCAGCTGCGCTTCGAGAACTAGTCTGGCCATCGTGGCTGGAAAACGCTTGGTTTGGGCGCCAGTCTGGAAATCGTGGACACGCCTAAGCAACGCTTGACTCTAATACGATCCACCCACACCTTCGAAAGCACAAGCTTTCAATCTAGGGTCAAAAGTAAGGGGATGGCGACAGAGAGGGTGGTTTACTCAGGCAAGGAAGGCAAAAGGGTGAGTAGGTGGTGGTATCATGACCGGACAAATGGTATAGGAATATCATGTAAGGCAGGGCAGGGATATGTCCATACTCTAACATTGTGAGCATGTTATAGTAAGGGTCCGGTTCTACTGAAACATATTGCAGCGATTTGGATACGAGCCCTAATCCGAATGTCCGTCAAGTAGGCGCGCAGGTCTTTAGGGATGTCAAAACTACTCACACCAATTATTTTCTCTCTCGCCTAGATTACAAGTTACAACCAAACGCATGTTGAGTGCTCACGTAGTGGTCGTGCCCAATCAGTGCCGAAATCGACTTTGGTCAACCTGCGGACACGAATACCAACTAAGAGTCAAAGCGTGCACCTCCCCCCCCCCCCTTCCCTCCTAAAAAAAAAAAAAAAAAAAAAAAGAAGCGCCATCACTAATGGATTTAATACGCGCAACCTAGCTGCCGTCAAGGCTCCGTTATACACTGACGTTGAGAGTAGCGAACGTAGCGTAGCGCATAACGCGCGCCTTTCATTGGCCGGCGAGCAGGCACTCGATATCTGCGACCAATCAGCACCTCTGTGCACTTCGCTAAGCTGGACATCGGAGTGTAACAGAGCCTTCAGCGTCGCCGTCAGCGTCGCCGTCAGCGTCGCCGCCAGGGAACCTCGTAGCGTCCCCCAATGACCGCGACGCTAGCACGTGACCACGCCAATACCGACACGTCAGTCTCTTTCCCCGAGGTAGAGGGCCTTAGTGCGATTAATTGGCACCTGAAAGTGCCCCCCAATTGGCCGCCGAAACATTGCACATTTTTGAGCCCTAGACACGTGAGCTTATAGTTTCATGTCTAGACTCTAACGAAATACCACGCGCAAATTTTTGCGTGTTAATAATTAATGACATTAAAGACGAGATAAGTTATCTTTCGCTCGTCTTAAGTCCAAAATGCGCTTTTGCGGCAAAAACTCGGGCAGCTTCGCAATGCCTCCGCTAGATGCCGTCAGCCGCGGTGCTGTATTTTGGGTTTTTATCGGAGCTAGGCACTCATCTCCGGGGCTAACAGTATGAAAAAAAAAATAGTTTATCATGTTTTTTTCATGCATTGCAATACAAATTTCGGCTCTGTTTTGCGTAAAAGCCTCAGTATTTGGTACTGTCAGGTGTCTAGTGCTCAAAACTGTACAACAGGGAGGCAGTCAAGTGGCGGTAACTTTTGTCTGGTGAACGCGATACCAGTTTATTGCTCTAAGCCCCTCTACCTCGTTGGTTCTTTTGCGGCGTCTCTCCTGGAGCTTCGACGAGTTTGTCGCTTGGAGCGGGTCGAGTATTCACTAATGATGCCGGTGATGCGCGCACCTTGTCTTGTAGGAGAGGTTGATGGAACTCCTGTAACTACCTCAGCATCGTGATGCCTCAGACAACGTCAACAACAAGCCTTAAGAAGCAAATGAAATTGGTACGTTTTTATTGGAGCATTAACATGTCGGAAAGAACACACTTCAAGCGTTGTGGCGTTCGGCGCGGGAATGCACATGCCAAACTTCTGTTAGCACGAGTGTAAAGTGCGCAGCATGCAACATTTTTTTTTGTTCCATGCCCCTCTCAACTGAGCCTATGAAAATAAGGAATGGGTTTGTTTCCGACAACGGTTTACTTTGAACAATTGTCTTTTGACATCGAAAATGCCACATCTGCACAATATGTTAAAACATCGCTTTTTTTTTTTTTTGCACTGTTCAAATGTACGTACCTGAGGTTCTTTCTTAAAAATATTTAAATCCCAGATTTGCCCGTTGTGTAGGTATTAAGGCTGGTTGACATGCTTGCGATTGCTTACAACTGTCTGCCTCAGCACCTTTTACTACGAAAAACACACTGGCGCCATCTACCGTTTAGCTGTGAAACAATTGGCGATTCCGTATATTTTCTTCTTTTTCGCATATCATTCATTCTTTTTTGGCTTAAAAAACCTTTCAAAATGTTAAAAATGACCATTTCTCAAAGATAGTAGGTACATTTGATCGCGGAAATATCGCAAAACCTTCGCTCTAGTGAAACGCCGGGTTATGATCATTTCATAGATGGCGCCAGCGAGCCAGTTTGTTCTCCCTTCCCAAAAGGTCCGAAGAACTTCGTTCCAGGAAGGCGCAACTACGTCAAAAGGCCTCAGCCGTACTTTCTCCGCAGTGTTTCTAATTTGTTTGCAAATTTTTTGTATGGTCCTAACACATGAAGTGCCGGTTGGGGGGGGGGGGGGGGGGGGTTCCATAAGGTTCTTGGACCTAAGACTTGACTTCCAACAGGGGCATATATGTTGAATTTATGAACCAAGGGGGACAAGCCAATTCTGCCATTCACGTCGGCGCAATCAAAACTCGTGAACAGGGGGATAACCAATTTCTGCTTAGGTAACGCTCCAAAAAATTCGTGCACTTACAAGAGCCACAAAATCTTTAAAAATCAGGTGTCAAGACTCAAGTCCGCGGGGTATCCAGTCTCTCTTCTATCAGCGGTAGCAGAGAACACTCTCAAGACGGTAAAGAATAAAAATAGGCCGGGAACGGAAGTACAGAAGAAGAAAAAATTGAAACCACTGGTCATACCATACCTACATAAAGTGTCCCATAACCTGAAATGAGTGCGCTCGCACGCAGGGGTTAAGTTGTTTTTTCAGCACCTCTCAAGTTGGCTAGCTTATGTAGAAAGGTGAATTCCACCTCAAACACCATAAGCAGACCCGGCTGCACGAAAAAGCACAAGTGCTTTGTTGAGTGTACACAAAAGATTGTCTACTCCGTGCCATTATCATGCGGGCGTCATTATGTGGGGCAGACTGGTCGCTGCCTAAATGAAAGATTCAGGGAACACCGTTACAACGTCGATGCCGTCTTATCAGGACACCTCGGTGTGCATTGCCTGGATTGTGGTTTTACTCCAACTTTCACAAACTGTACAGTACTAAACGAAAACAGAAACAAAACCACAAGGGAAATACTCGAGGCTCGAGAAATTGCTAGATTAGGGCTGCAATGTGTAAGCGCACCCTCTTTATCGTTATGCCAAAAAATAATTACAGTTTCTTGACCAAGCATGGACTAGTATTGGGCAAGTGCCGATGAGTGATGCAGAAATTTTACCCTTTCTTTATGTTTTTTTAAAGATTTTTTTAAGATGTGTATCATATCTTCCTAACTTGTTTTTGTTGTTGCCGGTAATATATACCGAGCTGCAGCGGAAATAAAGTTGAGTTGTAAGTAGCGCTGTGCCTGCGTCTTCTTTGTCCGTCGTCTTGTTGCGCTTTTTAATCATTTTTGTATGGGACAGAATATTCGGTCTCAGCGTGCACTACATTTTGCTCTGTTTCCCACCTTTTAACTGCTCAGTATGCTTTTCTAGTCTGGTGTTGCCATGGCTGGGCGTCAGAAAGTTGCTAAAAAGCAAGAAGAGATCCGCCAGATTACGCTAAACTCTGAAACATAACCGCTAGCTTTCCCGCTAAGACCTGTTTTATCGATCTGTCTGTCGTCGTCTGACGCCATTTCCACAGCACCGCTAGTACTCGTTGAGGTGACTCTGTTTCATACACATTTCAAATGCCTCGATTGCGCTACAAACCGCCATAGGGAGTTTGTAATCAATACAACTTTTCTTGAGACACTTCAGCTCCGTTATAACGACTCTAACGACTAGGGTAGCGTTTGTTGTTTCAGGCTTCAGCTTCTTCCTCACTTTGGATATTACTATGTCAAGCTGACTGATCGTGTCTCTACTTTGGCATTTAAATAGGGCAGCACCAGCATAGACATCGCAGATCCGGCCAACTCGGCGAACGGGTTTTCGCCACAGGCATCTTAATATGGTTGAACTTCACACCAGAACGACTACGTTGACAATATTTGTTTCCAGTTCATGCGGGGAATTTTGCCCCACTGGTTTTGATTTTTTTTTTATTTCTTTCGGGCTGCACTGCCATTGCGTCCAGAAGATGAATAATCGGCCAGAATTGACGGAAAATTCGCTAAATTGGAATCACTGTTTAATGCTCAAAACACGCCAGCGTGTAGAGGTTCTGTGACTGCCGTTATTTTATTTTTTTACGGTTTACGTTGTGTCTGACAACTTTTTATTTCTTATTTTTGAACGCATTTGCTTACTTGGTTTTGCTTCACGCAAAGTGAGAGCTATGCACCTCATATGCAAAAATTGCACATTTGTTGTTTATTTGTTTATTGCAGTCACAAAATTATTTATTTCACGTTCTAATATTCTTCATAAACACCAAGTCTTAAGACACCTCCTAAGAGAATGTAGTGGTTTTTATAAACATATAATAAATAAATAAATGCAGCGACATGGAATGGGCACTATATATCAAAAATATACTCCCAACGCCCACTGCCAGGAGCTTCAGTCGTCATGGTAAAAAATGTACTCTTGAGAATTTGTTCAGAAAGTGCAGTGTTTATTATAAATAGTAACACCACAACACATGATATCAGTGTACTTTACTTGGACACGTGGTCGTACAGTGTTCTTTGGAGATCCGAACGACCAGTTCAGGGAAGGCTCGAGTGTTGTGGCCTCAGTAGCTCGCTGCTGGCGCAGCGTAGCTTGGCTTTGGGGCGGCGTAGCTTGGTGGGGCGTAGCTTGCGTAGGAAGGAGGCACATATGTGACATAGGTGTAGCTGACGGAGGGCGCGTAGCCGCTGCTGGGGAAATGTGGAAGTGAGATTAGTTTCTAATGCACGCATAACCTTAAGAGGTCACAACATTCAGAAATGTGAAAGATCGTACCCGCTGTAGCTGTCACCGTAGCTGTCGCCATAGCTGTCGTGGCTTGGAGCAGAGTAAGAAGGGGCGCTGTAGCTCGGAGGGGCATAGGATGGAGCACTGTAGCTAGGTGGAGAGTAAGATGGAGCACTATAACTTGGAGGCGAGTATGATGGGGCACTGTAGCTCGGAGGAGCATAGGATGGGGCACTGTAGCTAGGTGGAGAGTAAGCGGGAGCACTGTAACTAGGGGGAGAATAAGACGGAGCACTGTAGCTCGGTGGAGAATAAGATGGAGCACTATAACTTGGAGGCGAGTATGATGGGGCACTGTAGCTCGGAGGAGCATAGGAATGGGCACTGTAGCTAGGTGGGGAGTAAGCGGGAGCACTGTAATGAGGTGGAGAATAAGACGGAGCACTGTAGCTCGGTGGAGAGTAAGAGGGAGCACTATAACTTGGAGGAGAGTATGAAGGGGCACTATAGCTCGGAGGAGCATAGGAATGGGCACTGTAGCTAGGTGGAGAGTAAGCGGGAGCACTGTAGCTCGGGGGAGAATAAGAAGGTGCGCTGTAACTAGGTGGAGCATAAGATGGGGCACTATAGCTCGGTGGAGCGTATGACGGAGCGCTGTAACTTGGAGGAGCGTATGACGGAGCGCTGTAGCTGGGAGGTGCGTATGAAGGAGCACTGTAACTCGGGGGAGCATAAGTAGGTGCACTGTAGCTTGGTGCAGAATATGATGGGGCGCTGTAGCTTGCAGATTTATACGATGGAGCACTATAGCTTGGGTAGGAGTAAGAGGGAGCACTGTAGCTTGGGGCAGAATAGGATGGTGCACTGTAGCTTGGGGCAGAATAGGATGGTGCACTGTAGCTAGGGGCTGCATACGATGGTGCACTGTAGCTTGGAGCAGAATAAGACGGAGCACTATAACTCATTGCATGGTAAGGGGCACTGTAGCTTGGAGCAGAATAAGAAGGGGCACTATAGCTATAGCTAGGAGCTGAATATGATGGGGCACTGTAGCTTGGGTAGGAGTAAGAAGGAGCACTGTAGCTTGGTGGAGAATATGATGGGGCACTATAGCTAGGAGCTGAATATGATGGGGCACTGTAGCTTGAGTAGGAAGGAGCACTGTAGCTTGGGGCAGAGTACGAGGGAGCACTGTAGCTTGGGGCAGAATATGAGGGGGCACTATAACTATAGCTAGGGGCTGAATATGATGGGGCACTGTAGCTTGGGTAAGAGTAAGAGTGAGCACTGTAGCTTGATGCAGAATATGATGGGGCACTATAGCTTGGGGCAGAGTACGAGGGAGCACTGTAGCTTGGGGCAGAATACGAGGGAGCACTGTAGCTTGGGGCAGAATAAGATGGGGCACTATAGCTATAGCTAGGGGCTGAATATGATGGGGCACTGTAGCTTGGGTAAGAGTAAGAGTGAGCACTGTAGCTTGGTGCAGAATACGAGGGAGCACTGTAGCTTGGGGCAGAATACGAGGGAGCACTGTAGCTTGGGGCAGAATATGATGGGGCACTGTAGCTTGGGTAGGAGTAAGAAGGAGCACTGTAGCTTGGTGGAGAATATGACGGGGCACTATAGCTTGGGGCGGAGTACGAGGGAGCACTGTAGCTTGGAGCAGAATAAGATGGGGCACTATAACTATAGCTAGGAGCTGAATATGATGGGGCACTGTAGCTTGGGTAGGAGTAGGAAGGAGCGCTGTAGCTTGGGGCAGAGTACGAGGGAGCACTGTAGCTTGGAGCAGAATAAGATGGGGCACTATAACTATAGCTAGGAGCTGAATATGATGGGGCACTGTAGCTTGGGTAAGAGTAAGAGTGAGCACTGTAGCTTGGTGCAGAATATGATGGGGCACTATAGCTTGGAGCAGAATAAGATGGGGCACTATAACTATAGCTAGGAGCTGAATATGATGGGGCACTGTAGCTTGGGTAGGAGTAGGAAGGAGCACTGTAGCTTGGGGCAGAGTACGAAGGAGCACTGTAGCTTGGGGGAGAGTACGAGGGAGCACTGTAGCTTGGGGCAGAATATGAGGGGGCACTATAACTATAGCTAGGAGCTGAATATGATGGGGCACTGTAGCTTGGGTAAGAGTAAGAAGGAACACTGTAGCCTGGTGGAGAATATGACGGGGCACTGTAGCCTGGGGCAGAGTACGAGGGAGCACTGTAGCTTGGGGCGGAGTACGAGGGAGCACTGTAGCTTGGGGAGCCTGGAAGGGAAACAACCCTGCTGTCAGAGTACGTAATAAACGAAAGTGGACTATTAAATTTTAGAATTTTATTTCGGCATTGAGGATTGTGCGTAACGTTTTTGTTAGATATTGGGCCATGAGCTAATATTGGGTAAAATTTCGCTTCGTGTGTCTGCGTTGTGGAACACAGTGGTCTACATCATAAAAAAGCAATAAATAAGAAACAAAAGCTTCCGCTATGAATTTTAAGAACATGTGTTGAATATATTGTCGTTCTTGTTTCGAGCAGCATCTTGACATTATCATGATTCTGCTCAGACAAAAGGGCTTTAAGGGAATGACATCTGATTTCCCCTCACTGATTGCGCGTCAGAACATTGTGATTATTTGGCTGGTGCTTCTTAAAAATCGATCTACCTTCGAGTATTGGGGTACGAATTTTTTGCTTACTTACAAAAAAAAATGCAATCCACAGGACTCTAAATGAGGTGTAAAACGAGTGCTCTAAGCGTAGGCTCCAACCCATGCGAACGGCCATGAAGGACATTGTTGGTACAAGTTGGTACCAAACAACTTAGGTGTTCTTTGTCTTGCGGCTTTGAGCCGTAGAAGTTAACACTGTGATTCTTTAGCAGCTTAATTTGACTGTCCAAACATAAAAAAAATGTATATATTGTTTATAACTTCCACGGTTCCTTTCACATTCGGCTTTCTAACCAACTAAACTGACGACATATGATCAGCTTGCTGTTCTTATTGGACTGTGGTTAGAAGTAAGGACGTTATTGACAACACAAGGAGGAAATTGGGAATACACGAATATTCAATAAATTTGCCTTAGTTTAAAAGATGGGCTAAATTCTGACATCGCTTTTTAAGTGTACTTGTGTGCGGACGCTATGCGAAGGCAAATAAGGTTCTCAACCTCAAGCTGCATCTGCCGGTATGTTGCTTCAGGAGTGAACGTTCGGATAAAAGTGTTTTGGGCCATGTATTGGGTTACGACCAATAAAACTTCGAACAAATTAACGTTCATTTGTTGTCTCCCATTACAAAAGAAAAAGCCAACTTGTTTTCATCCAATCCAGTCCAAGTCTCGTTACGCTTACCAAAAAGGGGTATAAGAGTGATCTCATGTGGTGTTTCTTGCAGCAACCCTTGACTCGTACTGGCAGTTCCTAACTTTAAAGGGCAAGTTCCTTAAGAATTTTAGAGCCCCTGCGCTTCGCTTTTTTTCACAAATAACCTGCGATTACAAGTTACGTACTTGCGATTCGTTTTACCATTCCCCATCCAGTTTATATGTGATTTAGTTAGGGCTTTGAAGCAAAACTGAACCTCCTACGGGACGTCGGTAAGATATGGCCACCTATATGGATTATAGTATGAATCCTTGTTGAGTATTCTAAACTACAGAGAAACAAATTACAGTTGGCTGCACCTGTGGGCGACACCTGTGATTTACAAACTAGATGGTAATGCATTCTGTGACCTCGTTCAGTGCACGTGAAATTGGAGATGATGCGTTATGCGAACCTTAATGTCCGAATGTGACATGTCTCACGCGCCCCTTGTGTTGACCGTACACCCGCTTCTAGTCGGTTCAACAAAATCAAACTTTATGTGTTTTTTTTTATTGTTCTGCATTCAAACTGCCCCTGGACGCATTAGGAGCACTAATCACTGCTCTTCCATTTAGCCATTGGGAATACTGAGTTTTACCGTTTCTTTTTGGCATTCACATATAAGTGACAAAACAATCTACATCTATTCTTCCTTTGAGACCGTAAGGGCATCGAATCATGATTGCCATCGCTCTCTTTACTGGTTGGACTGATTTGCTGAAGGATAGTGAATGAAGATCCAATGTATCTGCGCACCAGAACAGGTCCAGAAACGTCTGGGAGAAAGGGATTACCTTAAGAAACTTGCCCTTTAGAAGGTCCGTTTGCACTTGCCCATAGCGGACTTACCATACGCGGGGTAGAAGTACTTGACTGTCTTGACGAGATAGGAGGACGTGTAGGCATTACCTCCTCCGTAGGTGTGGCCGTAACTGTCGCTTCGCCGCATTCGCAGCTGCTGGTGCTCTCTCGGACATTCTCTCAGCAACTCCTCGAGTCTGATGTGGGCGGTGGAGTTCAGCTGGATCAGCTTCACGTCGTGATCCAGAGGGAGTTGATACTTTCCGTGTTTATGCTTCAATTTCTCGAACAAGAATAGGAGGGCGAAGGTGGATTTCTCTGCGCAAAGAACACCATCGACGTACACACAGTAAGGCAACGAGTTATCTACTGCCGCTATGCCCTTAAAAAGGCAAAGTAACGATTTCAGCATTAAAAAAACTGGCAGCTTGTTTGTTATAATGTTTATCATAGCGCAATTGAGGGAAGACGCGCCGCCTTCCCCCTAATACTGCTATTCCACTGCATAGAATAAGAAAAGAATATGAATGATCTGCAGCCACGTCTGGCGGTTACGGGGTCCACGGTGTAACGTCACTGAGAGTAGACATGTTTTTGCGGTGCCAACTATTGAAAATCAACCCCCCCCCCTCCCCCCCCCCCCCCTCTTTACTGTTCCCGTGTCGAAACGTATTTTGTCTCGATCGCTCGCTACGACTTTCAGTGATGCCAAGCGAGTACGGTGCTCTAACACTGCCGAATCGTACCTTGAAAAGTTGACAATCGGGAAGAGAGGGCTGGGAATCTTGAAAACAAAACCGGGTGTAGTACTCCCTGGAACCCCAATTCGCACCACACATGAAAGACGGTGTAAATTGGAAAATACCCCGACCTTCGAATTTTTTTTTTTTGCGAAGAAGTAGCGTACGGAAGAAAATGCTATTTCTGTTATTTATCATATTGAGACATCGAGAAATTCACGCAATTTATTGGCCATGGTCTGGAAAGCGTTCCACCGCCTTTTGAATGTGTCCGGTCCGAAATCTCGGCTCATTTTTTAAGCCACGCTCTTCGTCGGCTGGCTGAGTACAGTGTCTATCTAATGACTCATGCGTATACCTCTAATGCAAAGCAGGGGTTCATGTTTTACGACTTTGAAGAGTTAAGGTAAAAGCCCTAAGACGGGAAGACGTCTCATTCAATGTGGAGATGCTAACTTTTTGCTCGGGGGACGTATTGGAAAATCTTGTGAGGTTAGTAAACGGGTCAATTTCAACACTTAGACTAGCGCGTTTCTATGAACCTTGCGCTGCCTGGTTTTACGAGGGGGAAAAGAGGAGCGGGGAGGGGGGAGGCTCTGCTAAACACACCTCAGTGATTCACGCGCTACCTTTTAGCTGGCCCCCATATTTGCTTGCCTTTATCGGGTAATCAAATCTGGTAACCGGCTGAAGGCGTGAACCACTGAGACGTGTTTACCTAAGCCTCAACCCCACCCCTCCTCCTACTCGCCCCCATAAAGCAGACGATGTGATGTCCAATGAGACGCTCCACTCAGTGTACCGAAATTGCCTTGTTGACTTACTGGACAAACTTTTGTGAATACGCTCCCAGATGTACCACACTCGCATGAAAGGAAGAGCTGGACATCCTTGTTAAATCTACTTGCTTTCGCTCGTCTGATTGTTTCTGTTTTATTTAAATGCAGGGCCTCGGGAGAAATGGCAAAAGGCAGAAGCATCTGCCTTGACGAGGGTACTACAGCTTAAAACGTTCCGTCAGCTATCATAAAAATGCAAGTATTGGTAGGAAAAAAAATTAAAACTTCGGCAGAAGACAGCACTGAGAAGACAAAAGAAAAGAGCACGCGTTGCAGTTCAGACAGTGTCCACATTGGTGAAAAGCACTCCAAGAAACTTAGACGGAAAGAGACCTATGGACAATTCCATATTGTATATGAAATGTATGTCGAAACAACTGCGATACAAAAATTGTTAGGTACAAACTTTTTTCTTTCGTTGGACAAAAGAAAAATACTTGTTTGCTATATTTTTGAAGCTTTAATATAAAACGCTAGTTTGTGCTCATCCTATAACACCTAGATATTTTATTCTAAAAAAAGCATCAAGTATGCTCGTTGTTTTTGTTTCCATAAGTTGTCTTTAATATGGTATTCTAAGGTATTATTATTATTATATTATTTATTACTTCGAATATGTGCATAAAAAGGTGGCTTAGTCACTAGTTAAGTCATTCCGTATATTGGAAGAGTTAGATGCTACACTTGGCCAACGTTGAGCAAATTGTGCACCATACCACACATGGAAACACTTCACGTTAAGGAAGTTAAACTAGTCCCGGCAGTTTGAACTAATATTTCTGCATCACTAATGTCAGTACTTGGGTGCATAAAACAAGCTGCAAACATATTTATTACAGGGCAGAAAGTTGCCTTTCACATTCAATGCATAAAATAAGCTACCATAAGTGCAGCATTAAGACTGCAATTGATGTCGCTCCTTCAACAATATTAACGCGATAGAGTTAAAGAGCTCGTGCTGCAGAAACGCCGGCGTCAGCGTTGATGGTGTTGTGACGGGAAAATCCTGATTGGTTGACAGGGTCATGACGTCACAGCTACATGACCTGGCGCGAGAAGTTCAAACAACCCACACATCTCACGCGAAACAAGACGTCACGGGTGGAATGGAAGTGGTTATAACACATAACATGTTATGCGAATTAAGGGTGGACGCATGTCTCAAACGATTTCACTTTATAAAGTAGCTCACTTGCTTTAAATAAAAATGATGTATTTCAGGCGTTTTTCGAACCCACAACCCTTCGATTCCAAACCCCCACACGCTAGTGACTAGACCATATCCGCCGCTTTTTGTTTTCTTTATTCAGCCATATCCGCCGCACTTCCTGGTCGCTGGCAAGAAGAGCATGTTAAGCGAATGAGCAGGCAATCGAACGGGACCCGATAACGCTATCGCGTTCCACTCTTAAAGGCGAAGCTAAAGCGTCATCCAATTGTTTACTTCTTTCATGTGGCCGTAAGTAGATCCATAAATTAAAATTAGAGTTAACAATATTGAAACCAAATAAAACTGTAATTCAAAGCAACCACTCCTGCTTACCTAAATCAAATCACAAACTTTTTGTGAGTAGCGAATATAACAAATCACTTTATGGCCAAGAGTAATGGCAATTCTGTTAGAAAACCTTTGCACGTGCGATATCAGGCTGATAAAAACTTTCAAGCATCCAACATGTGCCAACTTACGGTCGAGGAGATCACATCTGCAGGCTTCGTCCAGCGATGCTCTGTAGTGGGAGGCCACAAGCCCCATGTCGTCGCGGAGGACCGAAAGAACGTTCAGAAGACCACAGCGCCTGTTTCCAGAATCTGCAAATACACAATATCTTTATTTTTATTTTTTTATGTTCGGTCGTCGCTCACTTAAGTCACTCGTTCTCACAAAGCCGCCTGTTTCTGGAATCTGTAAATGCACCAGATGTCTTTTTTCTTTTTTTTTTTATGTTCGGTCGTTGCTAATTTGCGACACTCGTTCTCACAAAGCCGGGATCATACTGTTAATACTTCCCTTGGCGGTAATACATGTGTTCCCAACCATAGCCTTTGTTTGTGGCTGGTTTGTAGCACTTCAGTGCTGAATAAAACGTTTGCTAAAAAGGCATTCCTGACATGTTTCTGAATGTGTTTGTCTGGTTTCTTTCGCTTTAAGCCGTGGTCACACGACCTTTACATCATTCAATGGACAGTCTGGAAACGCTGCTTGAGGCGTGTTTCTTCCTTATTCGACTTTGTTCACTAACTGGTAATCCTAAACTATCTTCAGAATTGCTTAGACCATAAAAATGTATGAACAAAGATGTTTCGATCAGATAATCTTTTCATCATGTCTGTAGCGACAACATGTCTTTTGTATGATGTATGTGAAGCGCCACTGCCACTTAAAGAGGTGGTGCGGTGTTCTATACGGGGGCACCTTTATTCGGCCGGATAGAAGAAACAAAGACACTTTGTCTCCCTCCATAGCTTTCATAGAAAGTCAAGGCTGATATCATCGCAGTACAGGTTACCCGGAATACAAAGTCTACAAAGCAGGAAACAAGTTTACGATTGTTTCAGTTCAGGGACCGATATTTCTCATGCGCTTGAAAGGTGAATGCGAGTATAGTGCCATGGAAAGCGTCTGCGGCTGGGGTGTTTACCGTGTTTTCAAAAGCGGTCTCTCTATTTGCGGCTAGATATCGCCATGAAAGTGTCATGCCGATGACTACCAGCGATCCTGGCGGCGGCAGAGCAGCTAAAGAGAATGCGGCAGACAACTTTCTGGTGCAGGTCGCTTTTCCGTTTGAACGTTTACGGATGCTCAAGCAGCCAGAAGTTGAAACGCAGCAACGACGGCGACTCTCGCGAGCGCGCGTACTTTTTTCCGGAAGTTCTACGACCAACAGCCAGGAGTCCGACATCAGCCTACATGACACACCGGCTTTTGTGACGTCATATTTGTTGAAATGTCGGGACCCCGTTCGATGCGTGGGCTATATAGGACGGCAAACTCAACAGTCGTAGACGCGTTGGGTCACCATGGCCCCGGCAAAAACAACGGCAAGATGTGACGTCGCTGGCGACACGAATCAGCAAGAGAAAGGTTTCAAGATCATAGCCATTCTTGCGGTAACTCGTACGGCGAAGTCGGCGAACGATATAGGACGTCGCTGGCATCACGACGTCAAAACAAGTTGTAGCTTGCCTTCTGGCTATGGTGCCAGAAATACGTCTCCGACTGGTGTGTTTAGTGTCCTACTCCGCCCACCCATCGAACGTGGTCACGAAGTGGCAGCAAATGACGTCACAAAAGCCTTAGCGTCATGCTGTTGGGTGAAAGGATACTGGCGGTCGGACGTAAAAGTCCTATTCAAAACCATTCCATCGTCATAAACACGAAAAACTCTTGTAGCACATTTTTAACAATTTAATTTCATATCAAATATTTTTACATTTTGAATAGCTAAATCTTCGCCATTAAAGCTGTAAAAAACGTTGCTTTCCTTTTTTTGCAAGTTGCACGATTAAGTTGGCTACTACGGTCTGATAAGATGGTTACCTTTGTGTCATGATCGTTTATCATGAGCGTATGAAATCTCCCGAATTTTAGAGCTCATTTAACATTGGCCAATCATATTTTACGTATCTCAAGTGGGGGTCACATGGAAAATGCAAATTGGGGAACATAAGCAGTAACAATCAAACCAATACCGGAGACTATTGTGAAAAGGAAACTGTGCGAATACTCTTCACAAATACTTATTTAATTGATTGTATGACAGACATTCTCCTCAGTAAGAAGTCTCTTCCTTGTGGAATGCTTAATGGTCTGAACGATGACTGTTGCGGCTTTAACAAAGAAAATAAATATGAGGGCTTCCCCTGCGCGATAACGATGTGCCGGTCAAGCAAAATATTAAAGTTACTTACTTCTCTATACACAAGTATGCATAACAAAAGTTATTGCAGAGGTGCGGGTATCAATGGCTATGAAGGAAGTGTAAAAACAGTAAGTTGTTTTATTCAAATATGTTGTTTTCGTTTTTCAATCGTTCCCATAACCTTTTCTTTTTTCTAGTTGGGTTTTAGGACAATAAAAACACGACTTACTTTCGACGAATCTGTAATCGTTCTGGACCCGAGCAGCTGTAAGAGACATGTAAAAGTGCGTTTGTTATATCTTGGCAACAAGTGACTAAACAGAACTGTAACTGCTCAGATAATATTTAGTGTGAATTAAATCAAGTTAGTATTGCGGTTATTTCCAACATAGCCGTTCAAAAATAACACCTTTGATGCGAATTTTAAAGTTTTAAAGTTTCATTGCAGATAGGATTTGTGCTCGCCGTTATTATTTTTTTTTATTTGCTCAGTGTTGTAGATTTTATTTGGAATATTAAGCTTTTGCAGTCTTTCGGTACAGAGATAAAGTCATAAAATTGAGTTGTGTTTTCTTTTTTCAGTTAGGGGTTGCTGAAATACGTTCCTACATGCAGAAAACTGTCGTCACAAATTCGTTATGAAGCTTGGTGACAAGGTTCCCAGATTATGAGTGCCTGCGTTTTTGCCCTGCGACGAACCAAAACAAGAAACTCGCGCATGCTCCTCCCGAGGGACCGAGAGTAAACATCAATCAAGTTTTTATAAAATTATAATCAAACTGGAATTTGTTTCATTTTTCTTTTACCAAAAATGAACATTTTTTTTAATTACCACGTCCGTTTTAAAAAGAATCATTCATTACGGCTTTTGCTCTGGCATAAAAGAAAGGGGATTTTTTTCTAGCCACGTGGAGCGCGACCACGCTACCCGTCTTAGTACTGCTTGAGCCACCCTGAGGAACTGTTCCAACCATCATGATGGAAACTGTGTGGCGATGTACTTGTATTAAATAACTGCAGCGCGCTGATTTAAATACTTTTGGCTTACGATAAGTGAACGCTTGTTAATAGAAATGTGTGTTTTAAGAATACGAAAAAGAAGGGTGTGTTCTGCGTAGGTCCTTGCAAGCGGGCGGCCTCAAGGCCTGCAAACCTACTGTATTTTTCGGGCTTTAGTCCATACCAGGTGCATAGTCCTCAGGGGAATATTTTGGGTCCAAAAATAAAAGTTTTTGCTTAGATAGTCGGCACCCGGTGCATAGTCCGCACGCCGTGCATAGCCCGAACGTAAAACTTATCATACAGAGCACACCTTAACAGACGCCTGCTGTACTAGCTCACAAACAGGCTTGTATCATACATAAAGCAATATTAATATACTCCCGTATTCATTAAATCTTTCATGTCTCTTCACAGTGGATGATCTAAAAAAATCCTCGTTGTAATGGCCCGCATTAGCGTGACTCAATTCTTTTTTTATTTACATTTACTTTTTGCTTGGAGCGCGAGCAACACGCTCCGTGCTCACGCGCTGGCGAGCGCGTGATAAAGAGTTCGATTCCTGATGCCGCAGGGGTCGGACGTTTCTACACTTGTATTCGCTTCGAGATTCGATTGACACGCCTCATGTGGTGAAAAGCAGAACCGCGCTTTGCTTTACACTTACTTGGAGCAAGACGAACGCTACACACGCGTGACCGAAGCCATGGGAGGAGCCAATGCAGTGCTCGCGCACTGGAATCAACTGCTAAGAGCTCGTGCGCTGTACCCTTCCCCGTGCTTTGTGCCGTTAGTGTGGATGCTTTTTCTCCAGCCACATTGTGGACAGATGGCATCACCACGAGCCTCATAGAGAACAATGGAGAAACAAAAGCACGTTTCCTCATAATTCAATCTGGGTCTCGATGCCAATCCGCACCTGTAGGTTGTCTACCCCGGGTAAATTTTCAATTTTTAAACATCTCTAGTGAGCGGGCTATAGTTCGGGAAATACGGTAAGTATACTTGGAAACAACTTTTCTTGGCAATGAACCCAAAGCTATGAGTACCTGTGCGCTTGCACGCACTGCGCGCCGATCACTGCTGTGCTCGTGCAGTCTTCATTTTAGAAATGCCAGAAAAAGTTGCCCTCGAGTATAGCCTTGAAATTTCTCCAGTGCAACGCCGAAGCGATGAGGCCAGCACAGTGAGATTTGGATACCTACCTCCTCAGAAGGAGTTAAAGCGCTGTAGGAAGGGTTAAGCTTCCCTGATAAAATTCGCGCTTTGCGCTTCTTACAAGTAGCGCCAAGCATTGTTCTGCAAACACGGCAAAAGTCGTGGCCGCTCATTTCAGTGCTCCCCCTCCAAATCGCTTCCAAGGGCTGCATGGGGCACGAGCCTCAATACGCTACGTGCAAGACAAGCACAAACACTTTAGGGGCTTTAGTATAGGGTGAGGTTCAAAGGACACCACCAAGGTTCGACCGGAGAAACTCGCCTCCCCCCCCCCCCCCTCTGCCCCTTTGAAGTCTTAAGAAAGTGTGCGTTATCATTCAAACACTGCCGTCGAAACACTTGGCTGAGAGTTTGATGTCATCTTACCTGTGTCACTTTCGCAGAGCTCGTCTTTGGTCAGATCATCGAGAGATGCAACGCACTTCGGACAGGAATCCGGTTTCTCAGGACATAGGGTATCAGCACGCATCATCTGTCTCCCGGAAGTCTCGAGATCCCTGCAGAGAGCAAAATAATACGCCATAACTATAGAGAACAGTTTGTTGGTTGACCATCCAGTGATGTACAAAAGAGTTGGGACAACGTGTCGTATAGATACTAAAGCTGTGGTGCTGGTTTTTGGCGTCCCTTAAGGAAGTCCCAGGTGGGACGCAGATTAGACACGATCACCGCGTCAGCGTTCAGTGGAGACTGGTGTCCAATCAAGAAAGCAAAACAACTCACCACCAAATGCCAAAGGCAGAAAGCTTGTGCTGGAGACACAGTGTAACATATACTTTAACTAACCAGAGATTATCCTATTGGCACGCCTGAGTAGCTTATTCCGACACCATCTCCGCCAGCCAGACGGCGTCAAAGAAAAATAAAGAAACGAGGAAAAACATTAAGGATTCTCTTGTTGGTACCTGTTGGCACCTTGGCACTTGCGCGCGTGCGCTTTCCTCTCGTACCGTCTGGAGCCTATGCGCTAACCTCGACGTACGTGGCTTGAACGGATCGCCCGAGATCCTTCCGCTTTAATGTGTACATAAAACTCTACTTGGCGGCACTGAAACACGATATATACTCCGGTCACCGTTAATCTCAGACAAGAAGCTCGGCCTTTAGTGCGAGCTTTCTGCCCTTGCTAACATAAGTGTGAATGCGCAGGCACGCGCACCCAAAGCATTGCGGAGGCCAGTGAGCTCGCGCTGAAGGCGGAGCTTCTAGTTTCAGCTTAAGGGTGAACTTTTAGCTTAGGCTTCAGCTTAAGGGGGATACGTCTAAGCAACATGCATGGCGCAAGAGCCAAGTTCTACACGACGCGGCACGCACAGCAGACAACTCTGAAAACAAGCATATCTCCGATAGAAAATCATGGGAAACCGGATCCGGGACATGAAAATACTGCACTGTCTGTCATTTTGCCTAATTGTTTTCATTCTTTCTTTGATTCTTGTATTTTCACCAACCCGCTCTTTTTTTTCTTTGTTTGACAGGTTACCCCTGGCAGATTATCGAAGATTCATCTGGTGGCGTCGCTTGCAACCAAAAACGGATCCAAAACTCCGTTTTTTTTTTTTTTTTTTTTTTTTTTTTTTTGGGGGGGGTGGGCGGAAAATTTGTAAGGATACTATTCTCCCATTCTTTCGTGTGCACCGGGGGTCCACCCATGTCTAATTACCTTCCAAGAAGGGGGAAAGGGGGTCGACTTTGTTTGGAAAAGCGGCCACCCCCGTCGCCCCCCCCCCCCCCCCCCCCTTAGATCTGCCACGGTTTGTAACCAAGGCGACGAGAGGAACTGCAGCTGCGATGCGCGCAATGTCCACGCCTGTATAGCTCGCGTTCCTAAGAAAAAGCTTATGGTTATTAAACCTGTCTTTTATTGAAGGAATCTTTTTTAATCCCTGGTCTACTCACACCTCTGGGAAAAGAAAACCGCGTTTTTCGGCTCGCGTAAAGACACTACATACCACGCAAAGCTCAAACTTTGTGAGAGCGTACCTTTACCGGCTGGAATAGGAGGTGCAAGTTTGAGAACATGATGTTACTTCGATCAAAAAAATACTTGAAAAATACTAAATATCACCATGAGCCGACGTCCCCCTAAGCCAAATATTATAAAGCTTTTGGGGGCATCTATCATGCCGGGTTAAAGCAAGTCGTAAAAATAGTGTCCTAGCATGTGCATAGTGTAATCCGAAACTCCCAATGCTGAACTAAGAAAGCTATCCCAATATGGTGACGCAAGTTCGTAACGATGCCTTTAATAAAATTAATTGTGCCCTTTTGGTGGTGTCTGGGTACAGCGAGGAGCAAACCAAATTTAATTGCGTGTTTTTCTACTCTTTACTGCGTGGGCCCAAACACATCCGGCTCCGTTTACACAATTATCTTAAATTTGTTTCAGATGCTCTGGCACTGCACTTTATCGGGTATTCCCTTGGCAGATTTTGAGTGATCCAAAAGTGCTCTCTGCTCACGCCTTTAGTGCGGTAGGTGCGAGCGCGCGCTTGAACGCCCAAGAAGATACGAAGAAAAAAGCGTTCTAAAAACGCACTAAATCCAAAGGAATTCTCTCTTCATACTATTCTACGGCTGCAAGGTGCACGTGTCTGTAAAAATGAATCAAAGAACTAACTTGCTATGATACAAATTCACAAGTAAAACCGCAGTATTTCCCTGTACCTTAGTATGCAGTTGAGACATTTTAGACGAAAAGTGAGGGCAAAACCTGCCTGAGGCCCCTTGAAGCTTTTCGGCAAAACAGAGAACGATTGAAAAGACAGAATTGTTTCTTTCACCTTCTTCGTTACTTCTATAAAATCAAATGCCTAAAGCACCCAAAACAACGTCGTGTGCTGTGTGGCTTGTTTTGCACATTAGTGTGAAAAAAACGACTAACTGCATACTAAGCCATAGCGTTTTTCGTTCTTGGTTTTACCCTCTGACTTGGGAAAGTTTGATATTTTTATACCACAAAAAATGACCCATTCATCCGCATCCTTGTGCTATATTGCCGTATCATCTGAGCATCTAAATCGGATTTTTTAGATTTATTTGATGTGAGTTCGAATCATTGGGCCAACGCTGTACCCTTACTAACAAGACAGGGATCTTCTTTTGGCCGACAAAACTAAGTAAGCTTCTAGGCGAACAGAGTCATCGTCTAGAGTAAAGCTCCTTCAGAAACATCTGGTTTGGTGGCAGAAAATAAGAATATTAAGCTTTATTTGCTCAGAAGAGCGGAGGCGCCCGCAAAAGGCCAAAACCCCCTTACGACGGAGGCCCACATTGCCGAGCTTAGTGATGGTGAATATGTAATTATAATATATGCACGATGAATACCGTGCATTGGCAATGAAGCGCTAAACTTTCAAATATGGGGCATAGTAGGGTGATTCCACGTTAGTTCATGCAATGATGATCCTTGTCATAATTTAGATATTTTTATAAAAATCGATATTAAAGCCATGTTCGTAAAAGGAAAATTCAGCTATATATGAACGCCGTAACAATTTTCTTTCGCTGAGATATAAAATAGAGAAGCTCGATGCGTGGAAATTGAGAAGATTTCACGATGCTACTTTGCACAGTCGTCATTTCCTCATCGAAGCTTTCACGTGACCATAACTTTTTTAATACATTTAACAAAAAATATGCAAGGTATATAAAAAAATTAAAAATATCAATAAATAATTTCTATGCTAACAAAATGGTCAAACATGGCATACAAACGCGCAAAGAGTGATTGACAGCGGCAAAGCACGCAAAGCTTTGCCGCTGTCAGTGATGACAAAACACATGACGCAGCTCACGCTGTTCTAGCCACAGAAGCCATAGACGAGCATGTTGATGAACATTACAGAGTTTTTTTTTCTGAAATAATGTTTGTATCGGACGGAGCGGCGGCGCATTTCAAGAATCGCTTCCAATTGCACGAATTGACTCGGAAGACGTACTCTTCGCCAAGATGGATCGTTTCAGCCACTGGACACGGAAAACGCGTTTGTTATAAAATAGGTGGTGTTAAACACCACGCAACGCTCACCAACTTGAGATCTTCGCTCAACTCAACGATTGCCACCGCTAAAGACTTTGTGGAAGTGCTACGTGAAAAAGAAACAAATGTCTGCATGTTCCACCTGCCTGCGGTACGGGTTCGAGAGATTTGTGCGGTGAAGCAAGCAGAGTGGATCACCGTAAAACTTGTGAGAGAAGTCCAGGTATCTCGTATGAGGAAGTCATCATATGCCGAGAGGCCGGATGTATACATGGCCACTTACGCAACTGAGAGTTTTAAGCCTATGTATGCGTAGTTAGCAAATTTTCAGAGTGGGGCCGTTTAGTTTTGGGGAATTATATGCTAATTAATGGTATTCCAGCTCAAAGTCCCTTTTCGCGTCAGTTATACTCACCCCCTATAAAGAAAAAAAGAATTTTAAAATGATAAAATACATTCCATAACCAACGCTCAAAGTGTTTGGTGCTGCGCGGCAACGCCGCTATGACGGAGACGTCGGCTCGCTCCGAGTGAAGGTTTGTCGTAGATTTCCCCGTTTGGAGGTCATATGTTATTCAATGTTTTGCCCTCACATGTTAGGTCAAGTCACTGCAAAGTGCCAAGGGGAGTTAAAAAAGAAATAAAAGATTTCATTTTTTTTAAATATCGGCGCCCAATCTTGCCACATTTTGAGAAACCAACTGCATTTCCGCGTTAATAACAAGAACACAATTAAGGGTGGGCATATTATCTTTATATATTCGTAACGAATATTTAAAGACGCACATTTTGATGTTTTGGGAAGTATTATGAAAGATGGTTTATTTAAAAAGAAAATTGGGAATACGTCTCTAAAATGCGTTTTTATGCCATATTTGCCCATATTGTTAGCATAGAAATATTTTATTGAAATATTCCTTTTTTTGTATATATGTTAAATATCTTTTGTAAAACGCATTAAAAAGTTATGGTGACGTGAAAGCTTCGATGAGGAAATGACGACTGTGCAAACTAGCATCGTGAAATCTTTACAATTTCCACGCCTCGAGCTTCTCCATTTTATATCCCAGCGAAAACAATTGTTGCGGCGTTCTATATAGCTGAATGTTCCTCCCAAGAACATGGCTTTCATACATATTTTTAACAAAATTATCTAAATTATGACTCGGACCATCATTGCATGAACTGACGTGGAATTACCCCGTAATAACTATCAAGCCACAAAATTAGTTACGCTTAGAGTATCGGCACTTAATCACACGATCTTGATGATGATGGTGGTGGTGGTGGTTTGCTTGCGGGCGCCGCCATTTTGGTGGTTAGTACCGACTGGCCGCAATTTGCGATCGTAACGATTCAAGAATGCGACTTCCTGGTCTTTAGATATAGTGGCAGGAAACTAGATCAATATCGTATTACTCTGTCACTGTCTCTCTTAACATCACTGGGTGACCAACAACCGTTTCGTGCGATTGCAGATAAAACTCCAGATAACTGGAAACAAGGATTTAGGACAGTAGGTGGCCGAGTGTGTTTATTTT